TGTTGTGCTCACTGTTTCTGTCGTACTGAGCAAATAATACGATTTCTGCATTATCCACACCATTTACATGCATGCAAAGTACTCCTGTTAGACGGTTTACAGCTGCAACTATAAGTATACAAGACATACAATCACACAGTGGCCCATTTTCTAAGTAATTTTCATGCTAAAACATCTGAACATTCTGTTATTAGCCTCGCAAATATGAAAGAATTATAATTTGTTAGTGTTTTACGTCATATTAAAATGGAATATCTTTGTATATAAAAGCAAAAAATCCCCTTTAGAAATGATGATGGAATGGTTCACTATTGTTTTTGACATTTTTACAGGATTAACTGTGAAAATAGACATAACTTGCAGCCCCTAATGGAGACACAGAATGCGATAAAAACCTTTTTATTAGATACAAATATATATTGACAAACTATAAATTATAATAAATGTTATCAAAAGATGTCTAAAGATGTAGTGATAATATCTCAGAGTGGGGTCTTTATAAATGTTAATCCGTGGGGTCTGTGCCGGACCCTGTCGACGGTATTGATTCCCGACTCTTCAGGCGTCAGCAGGTCGGCCTTATTGTTCGGCTGCCGGCTGCACGTGTTGAAGCTCCGACGCACGGAGGAGGAGGCTGCACTCGAACACAACACTCTGCCAAACATGTCAGGGCTTTGTTAAGTAATGTTCAGAGGGGGAGAAGTGGCCGGAGGTAGAGGAAGTCCTCACATAGTGCGCTTTGGAAGAGGAGCAATATTACAGTTTAATAATACTCCTAAAAGTCCTGCATTAAAAGAAAAAGACTCCAACAAATTATTAAAGATTGTACTTAAAAAACATTTAATATTTACAGGGCAGGACACGACAATACATAGTACATTTAAGTATTTCTTTCACAATTAGTTTTATCTCATTTGACTTTAGTTTACATTACATGTTACTTGTTAGACGCTTTTATCCAAAGCGACTTACATACTCAATACTGTGGGCAATCCCCACAGGAGCAGTTTGCGGTGAAGTGTCTCAGAGACACAACGACATGCTGACTGCAGTGGGGTTTGAACCTGTGACCCCCTGATCCCAACACCTACGCACAACCCACTGCACCACACGCCCCTGTGTAGTTTCTTTATTCCTGCATTTGACTGGCAACATGATGTCATTTATATATTTTTTGTATGTCTTAAATGTAGTGTACAATAATAATATGTATGATTTACATTGGCTAAACCACACTGTAGCTATTGTGCTTCTGTCAATAAAGTTTTTGATACTTGAATATCCTTGCAGAAGAAGTCAAAGTACTCCTTATGCAGGATGGCCCTACATATGTTGTTTTATTGCATTTTATTTATTGATGCATGAAGGTATTTATCCCTTTACTGCTGCAGTTGGTAAACATGTGTATAGAGTTGTGTACAAGTACTTTAAATGTGTACTTTAGTACTTGAGCACTTTTAGTAAATGTACTTTCTAACACCGGCCATGCCTGAGGACAGTTGGACAGTTACCGAGCAGGATGTTGATACAAAGAGACGAAGAACACACACTTCATCAGGTCTGCTGAGTAACTGCCCGGAGACACACACACACACACACACACACACACACACACACACACACACACACACACACACACAGCGCTGAGCCAGGAGTCATGGCTGTGTGTGTGTGTCGGTGTGTGTGTGTCGGTGTGTTTCTTCTAAAGCAGTGACTGAGCACAGGAAGTGTGATGTAACCATGGAGGATGAAACAAAGCTTTTCGGTTCTTAGGAAACCTTTTGTGTTATTTCAGTGTCTAACAGCGGGTGGTGATCCTTTAAATGTCCGACAGGCATCATATCTACTAAGACAGTTACATTTCTGGATTCAAAATGAGTTCATATTTTAATCAAGGAGTCAAATGCACTGTATATTTAATAAAAAATAAATGCGTTACAGAACAAACATTCAAAAAATAATAACGATATACAAATATAAAATATAACAAAATATATTTTTAATTATAATGGTCAAAAAATTGTAAGATTTCTGATTCATTAATATAATCTGCATCAGGTCTAAATGCAGACTCTCCTCCTCTCCATCAGGATCTGAACTGGGTCACTTTCTCTCTCATGGTGCTAAATTAGCCTTTTCCTCTGAGACGGGGCCTTAACGAATCCTTCATTTCCTCTTCCTCCTCCTCCTCATCCTCCTCCTCCGTTAACGAGCGGCTCTTTATCCGTTTACTGTACACTAACACTGAGTAACTGCCCGCAGAAAATACACAATGTGTCAGCTGTTGAATCTTAATTTAGCCTGTAAACCACACACACACACACACACACACACACACACACACACACCACACACACACACACACACACACACACACACACACAATTGAGCAGTGTTGGAAAGTGCATTATCTCCTGTAGTGTACCTAAGTAACATTTAGACACACTTTGAGTATTTCCATTTTATTCTACTTTATACTTTTACTCTACTACATATATGGTGAATGTTTTCACAATATGCTTTTGAGACACAATGAAGTGCTGTACCTCTTATCTATTAAATACGAATATTAAACAATGTGTCTCAACATTGACCAATTCAAGTAAAGCCCCAAAATGAAATAGTGGTTTTGCTTGAGATTCCCCAGCACTGCATGTTGTGTTTCAGTGTTACAACCAGAGTTCCCGTTAGAATATTTGTTTGCCGGTCAACATGTCCGTTAAAGTTGAAATCTTCCGGACAAAATTAGAAAAGTTCTTCTTTGTTATTTATTGAGCTTTTAAACAAATTGATATGATTCGATATAAAACAAACTAATTCTAGTAGATTAATTACATTATTCAAAGTGTACAGTAACTTTTAATAACACTGGAATAATAAACGGAGCGCTCTCTCTCCCTCTCCTGACAGCCTGTCAGATCATGCAGCTCGCGGATCCAGTAATGAGTGGCCCGACAGTAAAACTAAACATATCTATAACTAGTTTAGGAAGTTTGAGAGGTAATTAAAATAGCTACGTGATATTCTAACCTGAAGTGTGTGTTTTGTTCCGCTCACCGCTGCAGGTGATCGTGCAGAGCTGCGTGTCGACTCGTCAGCAGCAGCTGGTCTCTCCCGTCAGATTAGACTTCACTCGCGTTTATGTCCATATCGATCAGATCTAGCTTAGTTCTAGCTAATGATATGACTACCTGCTTGTTTAAAAGACACCTAAAACAATAAGCGTCGCTATGCAACCGGGTGAGGCCGCAAAGTATAGCGCAGCATTATGCATTTGTTTACATGCCCACCGGAACCCCGAGGCATTACCAACAGATCAACGCACAATCAACCATACGGACACTCTTTCCTCCACATTACGTGTTAGACATTAGAATTGATATTCTTGTAATCTTCTTGTCTGTCACATACCTTCTTCTGTCTGTCACATACTCTTCTTGTCTGTCCACTACTATTCTTCTTGTCCCTTCACATACTCTCTTGTCTGTCACATACTCTCTTGTCTGTCACATACTCTTCTTGTCTGTCACATACTCTTCTTGTCTGTCACATACTCTTCTTGTCTGTCACATACCTTCTTGTCTGTCACATACTCTTCTTGTCTGTCACATACTATTCTTGTCTGTCACATACTCTTCTTGTCTGTCACAGATCTTTCTTGTCTGTCACATAACTCTTCTGTCTGTCAATACTCTTCTTGTCTGTCACATACTCTCTTGTCTGTCACATACCTTCTTGTCTGTCACATACTCTCTTGTCTGTCACATACTATTCTTGTCTGTCACACACTCTGTCTGTCAATACTCTTCTTGTCTGTCACATACTATTCTGTCTGTCACATACTATTCTTGTCTGTCACATACTCTTCTTGTCTGTCACATACTCTTCTTGTCTGTCACATACTCTTCTTGTCTGTCACATTACTCTTGTCTGTCACATACTACTTTCTGTCTGTCAATACTCTTCTTGTCACATACTCTTCTTGTCTGTCACATACTATTCTTGTCTGTCACATACTATTCTTGTTCCTGTCAAATACTCTTCTTGTCTGTCACATACTCTTCTTGTCTAGTCACATAACTCTTCTTGTCTGTCACATACTCTTCATTGGTCTGTCACATACTCTTCTTGTCTGTCACATACTCTTCTTGTCTGTCCCATACTCTTCTTGTCTGTCACATACTCTTCTTGTCTGCACATACTCTTCTTGTCTGTCACATACTACTTCTGTCTGTCACATCTCTTCTTGTCTGTCACATACTCTTCTGTCTGTCACATACTCTTCTTGTCTGTCACATACTCTTTCTTGTCTGTCACATACTCTTCTTGTCTGTCACAATACTCTTCTTGTCTGTCACTACTCTTCTTGTCTGTCACATACTCTTCTTGTCTGTCACATACTCTTCTTGTCTGTCACATACTCTTCTTGTCTGTCACATACTCTTCTTGTCTGTCACATACTCTTCTTGTCTGTCACATACTCTTCTTGTCTGTCCATACTCTTCTTGTCTGTCACATACTCTTCATTGTCTGTCACAGACTCTTCTTGTCTGTCACATACTCTTCTTGTCTGTCACATACTCTTCTTGTCTGTCACATACTCTTCTTGTCTGTCACATACTATTCTTGTCTGTCACATACTCTTCTTGTCTGTCACATACTATTCTTGTCTGTCACATACTCTTCTTGTCTGTCACAGACTCTTCTTGTCTGTCACATACTCTTCTTCTCTGTCACATAAGTGGCTCAACTGAAGCGGTATTGTGCTAAAGGGAAATTATTTTGACCGGACATTTTGACCGAAGAGATTTAGATTTGCCGGTCTTCAGCATATTTTACCGGTCATAGTCCGGTAATTACCGGCTAACGGGAACTCTGGTTACAACAAGCCTTCAGTTGACCTCATTTAAAAGATATATATATATATATGTTAATATAATGTTATCCTGTGTTCATGCTCCTCATTTTTCTGCAATTTTGTTTCTATCCCCCAGTGGAGACAAGGTTCCGCTGACATCCGGATCTGTTCCATCATATCCACGACTCTGAGGGTCGACCAGTCCATCCTCACCGGTGAGAACATTTCCATTTTCCTGTGACAAGTTTTATTAAATACACAAGTTTCTCTTCTTGTATTTACATTTTCTACAAACAATACACAATACACACTGCACACATGCACACCCCTCCCCTCCCCTTCCCCAGTCCCAAAATCAAACCTGAGCAAAATGCAAAAGGGTACACAACGTTTCAGGAGAATACAAACAGTAATATTAATGTCAATAATAAAGTGCTCCAGGAATGTTCTCCGTACCTTATTGAACGTATTACTTGAGCCACAGACTGAGTGGAGGATCTGTTCTAGTGCAAGACATCTCATTAAGTCATTTAACAATACACCAGTTTCTCCTGATAACATCTGCATTTGGTCTCAACTATAACACCTTATTCATGTGTCTGATTCTCTTCTTTAACTTCATCATGATATCTGATTATATATATCATATATTTATTTACACAGGAAAGCTGACACTACAAAACATGTGCTATTGCTTTCTCACAAAGGTTTCATATGTATAACCCTAACCCCTTTAAGAGCTGTACACCTGATTAGTGACAGGGTTATTATAAACGAGACCCTCTGAGCGATATTCATTTAGTTTCATTTCTGGATTATTGGATAAAGAAACACAGATCTCTCAGTAGAGATATCAGTAGAGATATCAGTAGAGATATCAGTAGAGATATCAGTAGAGATATCAGTAGAGATATCAGTAGAGATATCAGTAGATCTCTCAGTAGATCTCTCAGTAGAGATATCAGTAGAGATATCAGTAGATCTCTCAGTAGATCTCTCAGTAGAGATATCAGTAGAGATATCAGTAGATCTCTCAGTAGAGATATCAGCAGAGATATCAGTCAGTGCTTTGTTCCTCACATCGCCTGCAGATTTAACCCCCTGTTGTGTTTGCAGGTGAGTCCGTGTCCGTCATCAAACACACGGACCCCGTGCCGGACCCCCGAGCCGTCAACCAGGACAAGAAGAACATGATGTTCTCCGTAAGTCTCACTTCCTGTTTCTGTCCTCGTGTTTGTTTACTTTCTGTTCTCTTCCTGGAAGAATAACTCGCTCCTGTTGTTATTTATGAGTCAGGCGTTATCAGATCTCCTTAAAGAGGCAGTGGTGATTGTTTCAAAGTGGATTTGTGTGAGGTCGTTGATCCAGTTTGGAGAAATAGTAGTGAATACCAAACGTTTTTTTGCCACTTTAAATCACATCTAAGTGTAGTGTACTATATTTAGAATATTTAGACAGATTTTTATTTTATTCTGCTACTTAATTTTACCATTGATTTAATATATATATAAATACTAAGAAGTAGAATTAACTTTGTATACTGTAAACATATTTAGAATAATTCTGGGGTAAATAAGGTTTTGTGACGGTTGTTCCATTTTAGAATAACATATAAATCAGGGGTACTCAAACTTTTTTATTAAAGGTCCACTTGTGAATTTTATACAAGGTCACTGGTCCGGATCAATGGCAGTAAAGTCCAAAATTGCAAGAAGAAAATAAAGTTATAAAAGTAAAATGTGCACATTTAACTAAAGTATAAAACAATAATAAATGTAACATGTGTATGCAATATAGGCAGTGGTGGTTGGGTCATGTGAATATATAAATAATAAGATATAATACAAATATACATTGAAACACTATAAGTTAAAGAAAAAGAAAAAATAAGATTTTTTTTTTATATTTACCTTAAAGGTAGGGTAGGTAAGTTTGAGAAACCGGCTCGAGATACACTTAAGCAATAGCTCACGACAGGCCGTGGTATATGCTCATTATATCACAGCTAAGGGGCGTGGTTCGGCCCGACGCGAAGCGGAGGGTCGACAAACCCCCTTAACTGTGATATAATGAGCATATATCACGGCCTGAAGTGAGCTATTGCTTTTATAAAACGGTTACCAAGTGTGGCAATATAAAAGAAAAATACACACTCTAATTTAAATAGTTGTTATTATTAAATAATGATGTTCAAAATAAAATAGTCCCCCCGTTGCCTTCTGCACAAAACATAGTGTGAGGTGGTTGCTATGCAACAACACTAACAGCTAGCGAACATATTAGACAGACAGCGTTGATTGGTTATTTGGCTATTTATTTACATTAATTTGTATGTTGCCGTTTATTGTGCACCCACTGAAAAACTGTGCAGCATCCGTAGAATGGCTTACAAGGTTACTTGTACTAGGCTGCGGTTGTACTCGGCTGTTGCTGGGCATGGAGAGAATATTGCTCCATTTTCTCCGGTCTGCGAGATTTGGCTTCCAGTAGCTCTGGAGAGAGCTTTCGCACCTGTGGCCACTAACGGTCATCATTTCTCTGCTTTCAAGACCCGCATCAGAAAGCTTCTGAATGGTGGTACTGCGGAGGCAGTGGTTGGTGTATTTCTGCTGTGTTCCTGCTTGCTTGCACATTCTAGGCAACATTGTCGAAAGGTGATTCACGCCCATTGGCTCTCGAGTGAACCTGTAACAAAGCAAAAGTGATTTTTAGTAGCTATCCTAATCTAGCCTAATCTATTAAAATAATATGCACTACACATTATTTACCACACATTGTTGACATCGCAGTTCACTTGTCTTCTTGGGTGTAGATAAAAGGCAGGTGCGTCCGGGGTAGGAGGGAGATGTATTTTTCCAACGAAGAAACGGGACAGAGAGGATCACCAGGCAGTTCACACATAAATCCCCTTGTGCTCTCTTTATTTCTCGCCTGCGGGTCGTTGTGGTTTTTTGTGTGCTCATTGAACGTCAGCGTTACATACTTAAGCCCGTTTTCGTCTGTTTTGGTGGTGAAAGACGAGGGTTTGAGCTGCCGATTACCCTCATTTCCCCTGCGTCCAAAGTGCAGTTGAACGTCAAACCACACCTTGTTACTAGCCCCTCCGGAGTTTTTGGATCAAGTACTTGCTTGATAGCTTTGAAGTCATGTTCTGTTATGGAAGAGTGATGGACTGAAGTATCGAGTGCCTTCTTTCTCAACATTTTCACAACGCCGATGAACACATTGTTGCAAGTTGTGAACTCGGTGTCTTTGAGGATGGACCAGGACAGACTGAGTGGTGGGTCATTTATGTGCCGGTTGAGTCCAGCACGTAGACCGATATAGCTGCTCAGGCCGTATAGTTCGCCTTTACCGTTTCTGACAGTTGCATAAAAATCTCTCAAGATGTTATTGAGCTGCTGTTTTGTCGACGTCTGAAAGTCTATGACCACAGAATTATCCTGACACCAGTCTTCAAAGCACTTAACTGCCCATTTTGTTTGCTTCACGGTGTTCTGTTAGTTCGTTTTTTTCTAGTTGGTCAACCTGCTCTTCACGTAGCTCTGCATGTCTTCGTTAGCAGGGGGCTTTTTTCTGGAGATAGGCACTCCTCCTCAAGCCACTCCTCCATAGTAAGACCACCCCGGAGGTCGAAGTTAATCTTAAATGTGTCCATGTTATGCTTTGTAAGTTTGTTTCGTAACGGAAGAAATGTAAATATATTTATAAACGGACAAGTCAAATCAAGCAATCTGATTGGTCGATAGCGTTTTTGTGGACCTTTTTGATTACAGATTTGAAAACATCGTTGCTTGCTTTAAAAGTAGCACAATTAATTATGTCAAACCTTGGAAAGTATCTAGATATCCCTGCCCTAATGCCAAAGGAACTGCACACTGAATATGTTTTGCCGTTTGATGTCTATGTCTGGACCGCTGCGTAAAAAGGAGGGTTTCTGCCGTTACTTCTCCGCTGCTTTCTTGTTCCAGTTTGAAAAGCAAACTGCAAGCAGTTTGCTTTTCAGCCCAACTGTATACTGTTTATCTCAGACGCGGAGGGATACTGACTTGTTGTGAAAAGTAACTTACAATTCTACCCGTGGTATACGCTCAGTATACCACGGCTAAGAACCAATCAGATTGCTTGATTTTACTTGTCCGTTTTATAATTGTTGTTATATTCCATGGAATGCTCTTAACATCCCAATAGCAATGAATATCTGAAGTGCTTTGACAAAAAATCCATAAAAAAATATCATCTGTGGAAGCCGTAGTCCTGTAAAAAGTACGACCAATCATTTGAGCCGGCCCGGCTAAAATAACTGGATGGCCTACCTGCCTGTCAGCCTTCCATCTGTGCACAAACTTATCTCGTGCCCTCATTGGTCATGTGCGCGTTCGTGTGTGTTGGAGGAGGGTCTCTATAAGGAAGTGGCAGATTTTCTCCGGTTGTGTATTTTCAAATTCTAGTGATCTCGAGCCGGTTTCTCAAACTTACCTACCCCACCTTTAAGAAGTTAGTTTAAAATATAAATTATTAATAACAACAACAATAATTATGTAAAAATGTGTAAACAATATAGACAGTGGTGTATAAGTACTAATAAAGAGTTTAATGATGATTAGAGTGGATATATGGAGATAGAGTGACTGGATAAGTAGCTCATACAAGCCAATTAAAAAATGACCAAATGTATTATTATCTACAGTACCACTCAAAAGTTTGGACACCTTCTCATTCAATGGTTTTTGTTTGTTTAAATGTTTTCTACTTTGTAGATTAATACTGAACATATCAAAACTATGAAAGAACACATATCGAATTATCTAGTTAACAAAAAAGTGTTAAAAAAATTCTGAATATAATAATAAAATAAAAAACTTCGAATGACAAGGTGTGTCCAAACTTTTGACTGGTAGTGTATGTCATTTTTTTAGGGTACAAACATATATATAAACCTTGTTATTTCCTCAGGGCACCAACATCGCGGCTGGGAAGGCGGTCGGCGTCGCTGTGGCTACGGGCGTGAACACGGAGATCGGGAAGATCCGTGACGAGATGGCGGCGACGGAGCAGGAGAAGACGCCGCTGCAACAGAAACTGGACGAGTTCGGGGAGCAGCTCTCCAAAGTCATCTCTCTGATCTGCATCGCCGTGTGGATGATCAACATCGGACACTTCAACGACCCGGTGCACGGCGGCTCCTGGATCCGAGGCGCCGTTTATTACTTCAAGATCGCCGTGGCGTTGGCCGTGGCCGCCATTCCCGAAGGTTTGCCCGCCGTCATCACCACCTGCCTGGCGTTAGGGACGCGCCGCATGGCCAAGAAGAACGCCATCGTCAGGAGTCTGCCCTCCGTGGAGACGCTCGGCTGCACCTCCGTCATCTGCTCCGACAAAACAGGGACACTCACCACCAACCAGATGTCCGTGTGCAGGGTGAGTACAGAGTCACACACACACACACACACACACACACACACACACACACACACACACACACACTCACTCACTCACACACTTGATTTATTGCTGAGCAGTTTGCTCGTCACTGATTTGTCATATGTGTAATAAAGCGACAGCAGTGCCTGTTTGAACAGTGCCTGTGAGTCACTGTTCAAACAGGCACAGTTATGATCAGATATCCGGGTTATTGAGAGAAGACAACGAGCTCTAATCTCTCTGAGCGGTGATGACTTGCAGAGCTGCTGTTGTGTAACTTTACTGCGTCACACAGCTCAACTTCCTCTCTCTCTACAGCAGCTTTTAGGTTGCCTCTTCTTCTTTTCAGTACTTTAGCACAGGCTGAAATACAGTTAAAGTTGTTTAAAGATTTTAATTAGAGTCCTCTCCTGCTGATGTTCAGGTGTATATCAGTATGTAGTGTCTCTACTTTAAAGAGTCCTCTCCTGCTGATGTTCAGGTGTATATCAGTATGTAGTGTCTCTACTTTAAAGAGTCCTCTCCTGCTGATGTCCAGGTGTATATCAGTATGTAGTGTCTCTACTTTAAAGAGTCCTCTCCTGCTGATGTTCAGGTGTATATCAGTATGTAGTGTCTCTACTTTAAAGAGTCCTCTCCTGATGATGTTCAGGTGTATATCAGTATGCAGTGTCTCTACTTTAAAGAGTCCTCTCCTGCTGATGTTCAGGTGTATATCAGTATGTAGTGTCTCTACTTTAAAGAGTCCTCTCCTGATGATGTTCAGGTGTATATCAGTATGCAGTGTCTCTACTTTAAAGAGTCCTCTCCTGATGATGTTCAGGTGTATATCAGTATGTAGTGTCTCTACTTTAAAGAGTCCTCTCCTGCTGATGTTCAGGTGTATATCAGTATGTAGATTCTCTACTTTAAAGAGTCCTCTCCTGCTGATGTTCAGGTGTATATCAGTATGTAGTGTCTCTACTTTAAAGAGTCCTCTCCTGCTGATGTTCAGGTGTATATCAGTATGTAGTGTCTCTACTTTAAAGAGTCCTCTCCTGCTGATGTTCAGGTGTATATCAGTATGTAGTGTCTCTACTTTAAAGAGTTATCTCCTGCTGATGTTCAGGTGTCTATCAGTATGTAGTGTCTCTACTTTAAAGAGTCCTCTCCTGCTGATGTACAGGTGTATATCAGTATGTAGTGTCTCTACTTTAAAGAGTCCTCTCCTGCTGATGTTCAGGTGTATATCAGTATGTAGTGTCTCTACTTTAAAGAGTCCTCTCCTGCTGATGTTCAGGTGTATATTAGTATGTAGTGTCTCTACTTTAAAGAGTCCTCTCCTGCTGATGTACAGGTGTATATCAGTATGTAGTGTCTCTACTTTAAAGAGTCCTCTCCTGCTGATGTTCAGGTGTATATCAGTATGTAGTGTCTCTACTTTAAAGAGTCCTCTCCTGCTGATGTTCAGGTGTATATTAGTATGTAGTGTCTCTACTTTAAAGAGTCCTCTCCTGCTGATGTTCAGGTGTATATCAGTATGTAGTGTCTCTACTTTAAAGAGTCCTCTCCTGCTGATGTTCAGGTGTATATCAGTATGTAGTGTCTCTACTTTAAAGAATCCTCTCCTGCTGATGTTCAGGTGTATATCAGTATTTAGTGTCTCTACTTTAAAGAGTCCTCTCCTGCTGATGTTCAGGTGTATATCAGTATGTAGTGTCTCTACTTTAAAGAGTCCTCTTCTGCTGATGTTCAGGTGTATATCAGTATGTAGTGTCTCTACTTTAAAGAGTATCTCCTGCTGATGTTCAGGTGTTATATCAGTATGTAGTGTCTCTACTTAAAGAGTCCTCTCCTGCTGATGTTCAGGTGTATATCAGTATGTATGTTATTAGTCCTTCTTCTACTTTAAAGAGTCCTCTCCTGCTGATGTTCAGGTGTATATCAGTATGTCGTGTCTCTACTTTAAAGAGTCCTCTCCTGCTGATGTTCAGGTGTATATCAGTATGTAGTGTCTCTACTTTAAAGAGTCCTCTCCTGCTGATGTTCAGGTGTATATCAGTATGTAGTGTCTCTACTTTAAAGAGTCCTCTCCTGCTGATGTTCAGGTGTATATCAGTAGGCAGTGTCTCTACTTTAAAGAGTCCTCTCCTGCTGATGTTCAGGTGTATATCAGTATGTAGTGTCTCTACTTTTAAAGAGGTCCTCTCCTGCTGATGTTCAGGTGTATATCAGTATGTAGTGTCTCTACTTTAAAGAGTCCTCTCCTGCTGATGTTCAGGTGTATATCAGTATGTAGTGTCTCTACTTTAAAGAGTCCTCTCCTGCTGATGTTCAGGTGTATATCAGTATGTAGTGTCTCTACTTTAAAGAGTCCTCTCCTGCTGTTGTTCAGGTGTATCAGTATGTAGTGTTCTATTTAAGAGTCCTCTCCTGCTGATGTTCAGGTGTATATCAGTATGCAGTGTCTCTACTTTAAAGAGTCCTCTCCTGCTGATGTTCAGGTGTATATCAGTATGTAGTGTCTCTACTTTAAAGAGTCCTCTCCTGCTGATGTTCAGGTGTATATCAGTATGTAGTGTCTCTACTTTAAAGACTCCTCTCCTGCTGATGTTCAGGTGTATATCAGTATGTAGTGTCTCTACTTTAAAGAGTCCTCTCCTGCTGATGTTCAGGTGTATATCAGTATGTAGTGTCTCTACTTTAAAGAGTCCTCTCCTGCTGATGTTCAGGTGTATATCAGTATGTAGTGTCTCTACTTTAAAGAGTCCTCTCCTGCTGATGTTCAGGTGTATATCAGTATGTAGTGTCTCTACTTTAAAGAGTCCTCTCCTGCTGATGTTCAGGTGTATATCAGTATGTAGTGTCTCTACTTTAAAGAGTCCTCTCCTGCTGATGTTCAGGTGTATATCAGTATGCAGTGTCTCTACTTTAAAGAGTCCTCTCCTGCTGATGTTCCGGTGTATATCAGTATGTAGTGTCTCTACTTTAAAGAGTCCTCTCCTGCTGATGTTCAGGTGTATATCAGTATGTAGTGTCTCTACTTTAAAGAGTCCTCTCCTGCTGATGTTCAGGTGTATATCAGTATGTAGTGTCTCTACTTTAAAGAGTCCTCTCCTGCTGATGTTCAGGTGTATATCAGTATGCAGTGTCTCTACTTTAAAGAGTCTTCTCCTGCTGATGTTCAGGTGTATATCAGTATGCAGTGTCTCTACTTTAAAGAGTCCTCTCCTGCTGATGTTCAGGTGTATATCAGTATGTAGTGTCTCTACTTTAAAGAGTCTTCTCCTGCTGATGTTCAGGTGTATATCAGTATGTAGTGTCTCTACTTTAAAGAGTCCTCTCCTGCTGATGTTCAGCTGTATATCAGTATGCAGTGTCTCTACTTTAAAGAGTCCTCTCCTGCTGATGTTCAGGTGTATATCAGTATGTAGTGTCTCTACTTTAAAGAGTCCTCTCCTGCTGATGTTAAGGTGTATATCAGTATGTAGTGTCTCTACTTTAAAGAGTCCTCTCCTGCTGATGTTCAGCTGTATATCAGTATGCAGTGTCTCTACTTTAAAGAGTCCTCTCCTGCTGATGTTCAGGTGTATATCAGTATGTAGTGTCTCTACTTTAAAGAGTCCTCTCCTGCTGATGTTCAGGTGTATATCAGTATGTAGTGTCTCTACTTTAAAGAGTCTTCTCCTGCTGATGTTCAGGTGTATATCAGTATGCAGTGTCTCTACTTTAAAGAGTCCTCTCCTGCTGATGTTCAGCTGTATATCAGTATGCAGTGTCTCTACTTTAAAGAGTCCTCTCCTGCTGATGTTCAGGTGTATATCAGTATGTAGTGTCTCTACTTTAAAGAGTCCTCTCCTGCTGATGTTCAGCTGTATATCAGTATGCAGTGTCTCTACTTTAAAGAGTCCTCTCCTGCTGATGTTCAGGTGTATATCAGTATGTAGTGTCTCTACTTTAAAGAGTCCTCTCCTGCTGATGTTCAGGTGTATATCAGTATGTAGTGTCTCTACTTTAAAGAGTCCTCTCCTGCTGATGTTCAGGTGTATATCAGAATGTAGTGTCTCTACTTTAAAGAGTCCTCTCCTGCTGATGTTCAGGTGTATATCAGTATGTAGTGTCTCTACTTTAAAGAGTCCTCTCCTGCTGATGTTCATGTGTATATCAGTATGTAGTGTATCTACTTTAAAGAGTCCTCTCCTGCTGATGTTCAGGTATATATCAGTATGTAGTGTCTCTACTTTAAAGAGTCCTCTCCTGCTGATGTTCAGGTGTATATCAGTATGTAGTGTCTCTACTTTAAAGAATCCTCTCCTGCTGATGTTCAGGTGTATATCAGTATTTAGTGTCTCTACTTTAAAGAGTCCTCTCCTGCTGATGTTCAGGTGTATATCAGTATGTAGTGTCTCTACTTTAAAGAGTCCTCTTCTGCTGATGTTCAGGTGTATATCAGTATGTAGTGTCTCTACTTTAAAGAGTCCTCTCCTGCTGATGTTCAGGTGTATATCAGTATGTAGTGTCTCTACTTTAAAGAGTCCTCTCCTGCTGATGTTCAGGTGTATATCAGTATGTAGTGTCTCTATTTTAAAGAGTCCTCTCCTGCTGATGTTCAGGTGTATATCAGTATGCAGTGTCTCTACTTTAAAGAGTCCTCTCCTGCTGATGTTCAGGTGTATATCAGTATGTAGTGTCTCTACTTTAAAGAGTCCTCTCCTGCTGATGTTCAGGTGTATATCAGTATGTAGTGTCTCTACTTTAAAGAGTCCTCTCCTGCTGATGTTCAGGTGTATATCAGTATGTAGTGTCTCTACTTTAAAGAGTCCTCTCCTGCTGATGTTCAGGTGTATATCAGTATGCAGTGTCTCTACTTTAAAGAGTCCTCTCCTGCTGATGTTCAGGTGTATATCAGTATGTAGTGTCTCTACTTTAAAGAGTCCTCTCCTGCTGATGTTCAGGTGTATATCAGTATGTAGTGTCTCTACTTTAAAGAGTCCTCTCCTGCTGATGTTCAGGTGTAT